CAGTTTATAAATCCAACCATTTCATTTCCCCTTTTTAGAAAATAGAAATTCCATTCCCAAAATTCAAAATATAAACCGCAATGTTACACCGCCATAAATATCCAAAAAAATATAATAATGATTTGTACAAAAAAAAAGATTCTGCAAGTAAATTAATTTTTTTTTTTTTACCTTCTACGCTTCAAAAAATATTTTAAGATTACGGTAGGTTAATGAATATAACGATTACATAATTCGGGACATGTAAATTTTTTATCGGCACTGTCGGATTGTTCGGAAATGTCGGAAATTTCGGTGCCAATCAAAAGAATAGAAATTTCTCGGCGCCAATCAAATTACAGTATTAGCGCCAAAAATCGCCATGAATATTTTTTTTCTATAAGGACTTTATGTATTTTAAAACTTCTATAGGTGGACATAAACAATCTTTACCATACGTTTTTTCACATAGTAAACAAATGAGACAAATTGGACATGCATTTAAACGGAAGTTTAATGAACTATCCATTGTTAAAGTTAAATAACGTGAGTAAAAAAAATTGAATTTGATTTGTGCTAACTGATTTATAAATTTGATTGACGCCGAGAAATTTCTAATCATTTTATTGGCACCGACATTTCCGACATTCCCGAACAATCCGATAGTGTGCCGTAAAAAATTTACATGTCCCGCAACTTTTGAAATTAGATATAACGACTATCATTATACCGACATGATTATTTCACCGACAAGTTATTTCAACGACAAAATATAAATCTTTCTTGTCCAAACTACTGAATAAAAAATTTAAAAGTTTAAAATTTTTATTATTTGTCGGTGAAATAACCTGTCGGTGAAATAACATGTCAGTGAAATAAAAAGCTAAGATATTGAATACTTTAAATTAATAATTTTTAAGATAAAGTTACTCAAAGGATGAATTAATTTAGATTTGAAATTACTGACGTTTTTGTATATTTTATTCTATATTTAATATGTAATAAAAAAATATTTTGAAATGCGAAAAAAATTTCCAAGATAAATTTTACACGATATATCTTACTGTAAATATCGATACTATTTTCTAAATGTTGGAGCATCTGGAATCTTTAGACATTGAATATTGTTTAATAATTCACTATTCTAGGTTATTTATATTATTTACAGGAACAAAAAACATGAATATTAAAGGGATTTCCGAGGCGCAACGACACCCATCAAAAAAATTCACGAAATGGTCGGGAAAAAAACCCGGAGGTTCCGACAGGCATCGAAATCGAGACCCGTCGAAACTGTCGAAATCTGTCGTCGAAGCAGAAAAGTTTCGACTTTGCCAAAATGGCCTCACAACCGTAATTGGCTAAAATGGCTTTTTATAATTGTAATTCAGATATATATAAATCAATGGGCCAACAAATATCAATCGAGAGTTGAAAAGAATTTTATAAAACAATGATCTGCAAAATCATTATGCTTCCCTACGTAAGATGTAGAAGTATGGGTGAGAGACATTCTGACTTTAAAGATATTAATAATAAATTAAGTGTTGAAAATGAGTTGCACTTTATAATCACATTGTGTAATTCGTATATGTTGATTCGAACTTTCTAATAAAAAAAAGCTTGTAGAATTTATAAACTTATAACCTAACCATAACCTTGAGGAAGTTAACGATCAAAAATTTGAATCATTAATTACTCATTTGATCTACAGGTTTATGATTTTCTCCGTTTGGATTAACCATTGTATACGCGTCACTAGACCTTCTCTAATTGTGTAGTAAAATGACCCGATCGGTTTTTACGCTTTTTATAAAAAAATACAAATGAACCCAGTAAAATAATAGATAGAATTGGCATGACTATTGATAAAACTACTGTTCTTGAAAGGACTGTCGAATGTGATGGCGTCAATGTTGATGATGGTGCTGATGATGGTGATGCGATTAATGTGTTTGGCGTAAAATTTGTAATCCATAGATAATTCTCTGTATCAAGTATGTAGAGCTTGTTATTATTTTGGTAATCCATTTTCCTTCCTGAAAAAAGTTAAAGATAGATCGTATTACTATTTTTTAAAATAATGTAACATAATATACTAGACATACCAAACATGATGAAAATATATCTATGTTCGACAAGTTCTGCACAATGTTCATTAAGCAGTGGAGTTTCTAATCCAGAAATGTCTGGAATCCTCCACCGAAATGGATCTTTTGCTGTTTCTAATATTACAACGTTGGGTGTTACATCAAGTCCCCCGACTATTACAACATCTCCATTTGGAACTAGGTAGTAAGAAAGTTAGTGGGATTTTCAAAGGGTGAAAGAAAAGTAAAGATTTACTTACGAAGTGTAGATGTATGATATCTACGGTGGTCGGTCATTTCTTTAGGTTGTGGTACAATTTTTTTACTCCAAGTATTATCAATCGTATTAAATATTTCGATCTATATATTCTAAAAATTAGTAAATCTCATTATTATATGAATTCTCTATTGTAGTTTACCTGGCTAATAGGTCTATGTATGAGAGCATTATTCTCTGGCAGTCCATATCCTCCAATGATGATCAACCGTCCATCATTTAACAATACGGAAGAAAAGTCATCTGCCAATATTGGAATTTGAGGTGCCGGTAACAAATTCCAGGTGAACGAAAGTGTATCAAATAAATATGTATCACCTAGAAACGTGCCATTATAACCACCATGTAGATAAGCCTTTCCATTATTATCACTTAAAAAACTAAATTGAATTCTCCCATTTAATTGGGCGCGCCAGCCATTGCTATTCTTTTCCATTCATTTTTAAGAATATCATATTCCAATAGAGTTTGTTCGCCATATATATTAACACCACTAACAGAATCAGTCATATTACCACCAATGACAAGTATAAAATTATTATTAAGACCGCCAAGAACCACTCCGCTTGATGCAAATGCCAAAGGTGGAGCATTTAACGTATGCGACCATGGTGGTGAATCTGTTGTCATTGAGGTTTATATTTTGAATTTTGGGAATGGAATTTCTATTTTCTAAAAAGGGGAAATGAAATGGTTGGATTTATAAACTG